GGAAATATGACACCTCAAGAACAAAAAAATAGGATTCAAGTGAAAATAAAGTTTAAGAATAAGATTCATAATGTCTATAAGTAAAACCTTCTAAAGAAAAAAATTATTTATGAAATATACAAGTAAATTTAGATCTCAAAAATAGTAATTATATAGTCATAATAAATAGTTATATAGTGCAAACGGGCAACAAGAAAGAAAGATCGAATAATAGTAATTTAGATCTCATAAAGCATTAAAAAACGAATAATAGCGACACAAGCAGATCGAACTGAGAAATCTTTCCGCTTCTCCGATTTTCTTGGTAATCCGGCGACGACCTAACATTTCGGTTCTACTGTCATCTCTCAATCCGATTCACTAATTGAATCTCAGGCAGGTTATTCTTTTCCAATCGGACATCTTTTTGCAACTATTCTTTGAAGATATTGTCATTTTGGAGGTTTCCATACTCGTTTTAGGGTTTTACGAGGTCGGAGAGAAATCTGTATCTCCGTTCTGTTATTATGATCACGCGTTCAAAGCTCGTAGAGCAACTCAGAGATAGCCAGATCCGATCTCAGCACAAGTGGTCTCCTCTCGTTATCTTCTCCCCCAAACCAAATCTCTCCTCCTGGTAAAATCTCTCTCTAACACGAACATTCATTGATACAGTATGTGTTACTAAATTTTATAGTTTATGTATCGAAATTAACACACTGTATGTTTAGCTGCCTTGTTTTGGGCATTGATTTAGTTATATAAGTTACTTTTTCTTTCAAATTCCGTGGAATACTTGTTATCTTAGTGATTTTGATGAACTTAACTTGAAGTGAAGAAGAAAGTACCATGAGAAAGAAAGTTTATCAATTGACCATAAGTAGGATCAGTGTACATTTTGTTAATATTGGACTAAGAGTATAGAATGATAGTGAGAAATAGTAAAGGGAAAGATGTTGGAGTTGAGAAAGAACTGTGGGGGACGACTGAATTAGTCAATACTCAATTCCCAAAATAATGTAGCAACTTTATATTGAATTTGTAGCTAGTCTTGTATATTCTCATCAGGAACAATTTGGAGCCATATATTGAATTACATGTTACTCGAAGAGTTTTAAAAAAAAGGCGTATTCTTCCCAAAAATTAAGTATGAAATAGGGAAAGTCAGTTAAGGAAATCCGTAATAGGTTTTATGCTTTTGTGTAGGAGAAATTAGTGGAGAAATATAGTAGCAAAAAGACACATGTTGTCGCTTAAATAATGCCAAATCGCTATATAAGTTAACGAGTCATGGAGTTGGCAACATGGTGCGGCTAAAACACTAATGAGGAACTAAGGGCCTGTTTGATAGTTGTTGTCTGGTAAAGTTTACTGACTGGGAAAGAAACCATGCTGTTTGATTGTACATCTGAGTGATGCCCCGTTTGATAGACATCTTTTCAAGTCTAAACAGATCTTTCTGGCTAAAAGGGCCGGAAAGACTGTTTGATTTGCACAAAAAATGGGTCTTTCTCGGTAAGATATGTCTTTCCTAGAAAGTCCCAAAACCATATCTTTCTGGCTGAACGGTCATTTTTCATCATTCAGCACAGTCAGTCAGATTACGATCAAACAGCATGGTTTCTTTTCCAGTAAAAAACAACACTTTTCAAAACAACCATCAAACAGGCTCTGACTGTGTTGAATGATGAAAAATGACCATTCAGCCAGAAAGATATGATTTTGGGGCTTTCTGAGTAAGACATATCTTACCGGGAGAGACCCTTTTTTTGGCAAATCAAACAGTCTTTCCGGCCTATTCAATCAGAGAGATCTGTTTGAACCTGGAAAGATGGCCCAAATTGCCCTTCCACCATCAAAAATGTAATTATTTGCTGAGTTTCCCAAATTACCCCTGAAATGGATAAGTAGCACTTTACCCACTTGTAACCACTTCCATGCCAATTTTTCTTTAATGTATCTTTTTGTCTGCTCACTTTGTCAAATATTCACATTACAGTAAATAAACACTTTTTTTTTTTAATTTTATTTTTAATTACTGGTTGTGAAATAATGGCAAGTTTAATTGAAAATTTCAGGATTGATGTTGGTGTGGCAGTTTTCTGGCTGATTGTGCTCATTATCCTTGTAACATCATCATACATGACACTCTACTTGAGACATTATTGGCTTTCATTTATCATCATTTGCCTTTCTATTTCAATTCCAATTCGCTTGAGGATTTCTAGGCAAACAATCGCAAGAAAAAAAGACAGAAGATTGCTTCTGCCTTTGTCTATGTAACAAACAAATCAAACACATTAATTTAATCATTCAGAGAGAATAGATGCTTTTGCTTTTGTTCGCTATATGTACAAAACATAATTACATTACTTTCACATGTACATTTGACTAAAAGTTTTTCATCTTTTTTTAGTTGTGTGTATTTAAAGCTCAATTGCTTTTTTATTTTATTTTTTATATAAATTTGTACAGCTGTCATGGTCCCAAGCCAGATTATTTGAGCCCAATCAATGATAGGATATGAAGGCCCATTTAGAGAATTCTTGATTTTAATGGATTATAAATGCAACCACATGTCTTTAAAAGGTACGCTAGTCGCTAGGTGTCTCTTTTTTCTTTAAAAAAAAAAAAAAAAAACTTTTCCTAGTTGTAATATCACATATTCACATGCTCTATTTCATTAGATATATTGTGGGTATTAATTAGTTAAAATGATTGACTTTAGTTTAAGATAATAGATAGTGTATCATGATATGGGATCAAAGAAAGTAGACACAATATGTCAATGTGTCTTTTTTAGCGACACAATAAAATTATAAACATAATTACAGTTTTAACATCATTATGTATCTATGAACAAAAGGAAATGCACACATATAGGGTAACGTAAACATTGATTTTTCAATGTAAAAGGCTAAAAGCTAAGGTTTGATTCTAGAGTGTTTGTTTGTATAAGTAAAAGAAAAGGGTGAAGATATGTCTAGTTATTTAAAATTGTAGGTGATGCTTTCAAGTGATTTTGTGTAGGATAAAGTGAAGATATTCTGTGGAGATGTAATGGGGGAAATGGATTAGATGTTCCCTTAATTAGCATCATCTTATGCATATAGCATAGGATATGAACCTTATCAAAGAATTACGAAAATGCCATCAACATGTTCACCTAAAGAAATGTTTGCTATCTTGTGGTTTGTAGGCTGAGTAGGGAGGATTATGAAAAAGAATTATTTTAATTATATAGACCACATGGTTAGCACCTAATATTTTCATTTACAACCCTATAGTTTTCAAAGCTCACCAACTAACCCTAAATTGTGTTCATTCGATAAATAAAAAAAGAAATTAGATATCCTCTGATTTTTCTTCATATTATTTTCTTACACACTTAAGATTGTGACATTATCGTATTTAATGAAATTAATAAATTTTTATTATACTTATCATCATCTAAAAGTGTTACGAGCATGGATTGTAAAGAAAAATAGAAGGATATTTAATTTTTCAAAAAATAAACTTGAATGATTCAATCGGCAAATTGTGAATTTATGGTACTATATTGCAACATTTACTACATATGATACTTCAACGAAACGCCACAACATGCAACATATTGAGTAAATTTATAAAATCTGTTTCATAGTAATAAATATGCAAAGTCTATTCAACTCGATAATATATCGACATCAGTGACTCCACTATAACCATGTATTGGCATGTTGCACATGCATCAAGTCCATCTCTGATCTTCCCACGTTTTCAGAAACACGATCCATGATTCTTCTCGAGGAACAGTGCATGTCCTCCATCTGCAAACCTCAGTTCTCTAACAATTTCTCGCCCCCTACAATTCTAAATACTGAAACCAACCCCTAACCTCTCGGAAACTGCAGTAATAGGCCGACCCTACATTGTCGTCTCCATGGATATGGTCTCATCCACCTACCAACACTGCTTAAGCCATGTCTCTTTCACAAACCTTTAACATGATCAAGGAGACAATGAGTGGTACATGGACACCAGGGTCACATCTCATCTTCATACAGATCCAGACATACCTTCTACATGTGATAGAAACATTTTTCATTCAGTCTTAATATGATCAAGACACACCCGTATTCCTTACCCATACAACCCAATGACCCATTACACCTTCACAATGTCCTCATCACATTAAATATTAACAAAACAATCTTATGCCTTATTATATGTTTTATTTAAATGTTATTTTGTTTAAATCTAATATTTAATCAAGTTAATATCACAATCATTAGTGTAAGAACATTTAAAGTTAAAAAAACACACTCTTGATGTCTGCTTTACGAAAACATGATGTAGCTTTTAACCCTGTGTTTACGACAACAAGCGGATATGGTGCTTGGACATCATTAACATTAATAAAAACTCTTTATCTTTTGCAAAAATGGAGTAAGCTATGTGGTTTAATAAAGGTAAAAATTTATTTAGTGGTCCAAAAGTGATGCCACTTTGTGAATTTATGCCTAACTTAATACAAGTGTCTAATCTCAGATTAAACTTTTTTGTTTTTAGAAGGAATCATTTGGTTTAGTTGTCACAAAATGAATAGCCCTTTCTCCCTTTTGTTTAAAGTTTTGATTAAGATTAAAGAGACAGAGATGTTCAATTTCATGGCCATGGTTTAAACTAAACACCGATAATTTCGGCCAATCACTTGTGCACTAACGATAAATTAAGCTTTTAATAAAATATTACTTCCAATCATGCTTTAAATTAGATTTTTCTTGATGAACATAACTATTTAATGTCGACTGATGGGTGTTTTGTTTAATTTCTTTGTGGATAAATTGATGATTCTTTAAATAGTTTAGTAACAATGTTTTAACTGTTTGTTAGATATCCAAACTCATTGTCGACGAGAAAATCATTTTTTTTTTGTGTCACAAAGAAAATCATTTCTATCCACATACTTTGGAGGTGTTGATTGCTTATTCAATATGCTTATTAATTAGCTTATGTGGTTTAACATTGCTAATAAGCATTTTTTTAATGTGGATAGACAAAAACTGAAAATGTTTATTGATTTAAATAATTTTTTTCCATAAGTTAATGTTTTCTAACTTATTTAAAATAACTTATAATTTATGTAAACCAAATTACCATATTATTAACCGTATCTAAGTTCTATATTTATATATATTTCGGCCATGTGTCAACGATGTAAACTACGATATCATAAATAATAAATGTTTTGTTGTATAAAAATTATGGATTGATGTGTTAAAATATGATTTTTATGAATTGTTACAACAAACAATATTAACTTAGTCCCATACAAATAAGGTAAGAGGAAAGTATGATGATAGAAATTTTGTAGTAACGTCTATTCAAAATGAACCTACATAAAAATCACTAAAATCACTGCATAAAAAACATTAGTAGAAATAGATTTCCAAATAGAAGCATGGTTAAATAAGAGGAAACTATAAGACAATCACAAACAAAGAAAATGTATCTGAACCCTAGATACATTCTCCAAAACTTTTTAGGTCAACGTGAATAACAAAAAAGAAAAAAAAAAGACTTAAATGAAATACAATTGTACTAGAATTGATAGACCTCCCGGTAAAAAACTAAAGTAGTATTGTTTTTTAATAGAACTTAAGCATATGATTTAAGTATATTCTTTTAGCATGTAAACATATATGATATGTGTAATTGATCATTTTGTTTAGGTACTATTATATTTGATAGAAAAAAGAATCAATAATATATAAAATATATTTTTTTAGATCATTTTACATGTTTAGACAAAATTTATCAAACATTAAAAATAACTTATTAACTTATTACGTTTTAATACATAATAAGCAAGGCTAAACACTTTTTTTAAATCTTCATTTTTAATACCGGATATATCTATGATGATTGAGGGTGGTGATCTTGCTGATAAAGACAAATGATTGTGGGGTGAAAGGAGGGAGGAGGAAGGCTTATAGGTTTTGTGATTTAATGAACTTGTATTATATTTTTGCTACAATTTGGGGTAGCAAACCCGTATGAAATTTCATGTTATTTTTCTATTATTCAAATTTGGTGGATAGGTTAAATATAATTTTTTTGGTTTCAAAGTGTTTGTAGTAGTAGTCTAGGGAAGAAGAATATGTAAACTAAATGTCTTAGTAAGAAAAATACTATTTGTTTTTTTATAGTCTACGGTCTACTTAAAAATCTGAAATTTAAATAAATTATTTTTTTTAAACTTAAAAAAATTTCATTTTCTAAATGACTTTTCTATTACTTTCCCATTCCATGTTACAAACCATTGACCAA